GAAGGAGGCTGGGAAAATGAGTTGGGGGGTTTCTCTGGGGAGCGGGGCAGTGACTTTTTGCAGGTGCTTTGAGGAGAAGGACAGGGACCCTGGAGCAGAAGGGGTAGGATTCTCCCCTCAACCAGCAGGACTTGTAACTCTCTTCTTGGAACAAAACTTAAAATCCTCAGCAGGTTGTTATTCCTCGAGAAGAGCAAAATTTCTGGGATAGCTTTCTAAAATGCCGGAGTACAGATGCTATTCCATGGTTTTTGTCATTAGCTCATATTCTAACTTTTTTTCCCTTTCCAGCTAATTTATATTTTCCTAGTGTTGCAGGGAGAAAGCATCCAGTTTCTCTCTCATTGGTGTAAAAAAGACAGGGCTATTTTTATCTGTGGGCTTAATTGCCATGTATGTGAATAAAAAGGAATATGGCAATTAGGAAGAATCTTCTAAAACTTTATTTAAAGAAGAAAGTCAGTCTACAGGAAATTTTCTGAGAGCAGTTGACTTGCGACAAGCAAGCTGTAGTGACACAGCTATCAGAAGTGGTGGCATCAGCTCTGCAGGATCAAAGGGTTTGTCAGAGGCCATCAGTGAGGGTGAATGTTTCTGGCATTTGGGCAGACCATGGTCCATCCATCTGATGTTGGATGTTCTCTGCTTTCAGATCATAGGCATCTGCCTCCTTCCTTTATTTTGATCTTCATCTGCACTAAGAAAAAGCTCTGTTTTGCTGATGGTTGGCGGAGGTGAGCACAGCGTAATTGCAAGTACAAACCAAGACAGACTAACCCCGCATTACCCGGGGTCCTGGCCGGGTTGCGCGGCCCCGGCAGCGAGCCGGGCTCTGTGGCCGCGCCGGGGCAAGGCTGCACGGCTGGTTTCGCGTGGGCCGGATGGCCGAGCGCGTGGGCGTGCTTGGAGGCACCGACTGCTACCTCCTGCTCCTGGAAAAGCTGCGCTTGGAGAATAGAAGCTACCAGTTACTTCATCAAGCAGCACCAAATTTGCTCAAAAAGAGAAGCACGGGCTTTCTCTTCTCACAGGTTTAACTTAAATAAGGTAGCAGATCATTCTCTATCCCAGCAGGCTATATAGGCTAATAATGCTGTTTATGTGCTAAATGTTGAATACTACTTATTTGATCTGAGACAGTGGATTTGGAACAAACAGATTTATTTGAGTTACACCAATTTGCCCAAAGAAAAGCCCATTTTATTAACAGGCAACATTTAATTGCCAATTTTAAGATTTCAGCGCATCACAACAACAACTTTCAAGAACTGCCAGTTTTTTTTTTTTTCTCTCAAGTCTCTATAAACTGAAAAAACCAAACCCCATAGCATGTGGTGAATGTTTTCAGCAGCCTCTGGTCGCGAGCGCTGGGCTCGTGAGCTCGGGACCTCGCTGGAAAGCAGCGCGAAACCCCACGGAGCACCACGAGGGGAACAAACCGAAGCGCAACCCGCGCAGGCCGAAGCAGCACTAAGTCATCTGAAGGTGCCCCAATTAAATGAAATTACCATCCCAATTAAGCAGCTGTCCTTGCCATAAGTATCATTAGGTATAAATTGATTCCTTGGGAAGCATCTTGATTAAGTAGAGTTTTCTAATTAAGCAGTGCACTGTAGTAGTTAATGAAGATTTATAGATCAATACAGTAAATTGCAACAGTTGCTTGCTTGCCAAAACTAGATTTATTTGTGTCTTATCAGAATTTTTAGGTCACTTAACGTCTGTCATGCCAGAGAGCATTAGGAGTCAGTGTGGGTCACAGTACAGAAGAGGGACGCCAGGAATTTCTGCCTTGCTGTGGAAATACCTGCGTGTGGACTATACTGCTTATGGCCTAGCAATATAGCATAGGACAGGGAGATTACTGAGCAGCTCAAACGTAACTTTATTATTTAATTGCACATTGAGATGCATGTTTAGTTTTGACCAGGTGTGTTATGACACATTGCACAGTTTGTACTCTTGTAATGTACTGAGTACTGGATGGACCCAGAAATGGGGAAATGATTCCTCTGTCTAGGTCATGAGAGCCAAAATTAATGGTGGTGACATTGGTGACAACTTTAATGTACAATACAAAGAGTACCAAAAATGTTTCTGTCCATTGAAATTGAGAGTAGAAATATGGTCATTGTGTTTTCTGGTAAACCAGAAAACCAGAAACCTGGTAAACCCTAGAGTAGGTTTTAGCACCATTTTTCTCTTAGTCATGAAGAAGTGTATTTTCAGTTCTTAAAAGCAAAAATATTCTTGCTCCTTTGTGAGTTATCAGAACTTTTTAGCAAAATTCACACTGTGGTATAAATGCCATTCAAATTCCCCTCCAGTTTCTGAGGAAATAGAGCTGCAGAGCTAACCATTACTGGCAGAAGGAAAGAGGGGAGCTGACAGCGTGCAGGAGGATTTGCAATCTGTGGAGACAGCTACTTAGCCAAGCACAAGCTGCAAACCCCTTGCTGTCGCTGGAGCCTGGGGCTGGAAAACCGTACGGAGCAGCCTGCCAGCATGTGGAGAGATGCACTAGGATTCCGGTGCTGCTGCTCACAAAGGTACCTTCCCTGAGCTACCCCTTCCCTCAACTCCTTTTTACCAGGGTTACTCCTCAATTGCATTGAAGCAGGACATACTGCAATCAGGTTTCTGGCTGACTTCATTTTATGGCTTTAAATGAAGATGTGGGAGATGCAGGGCCAAGGCTTTAGGGAGCTGTGCCAACACCATTGTTTTGAAGATGCAGCAGAAACTCTTGTTCCAAATAAGTGAGTGACAGTAGTCAAGCAAGCTTGTTAATAGAAAAGAGTTAGTGTCAGCTAATCCTAAATCTTTTGCTTAAAATGGAAGGCAAGAAGTAAGGGGGAGTTAGGCAGCCCATGCGCTCAACCCTTAACAGTAATAGGCTAATGTTGGTACTAACTGTCATATCAATTTTAGGAGCATAACCCTGCTCCAACCATGGTTGCAGTGAGCACTAAGAGGTACTGGGATGCTAAGGACACTGCAAGGCCATAGCAAGTGGAGTGATGATGCAAGCTTCCTAATGTACAGTTTATTCTCCTATCTTAAATGAAGGGTCAGCCATGCAATAGGTGCTCAGAGATGCATTCATATTCCCATGATTAGCATCTGGATCCAGTTTCTGTGATGGTGTTTCACAAACCATCACCAAAGGTTTTACTAATTTCCTCTCTTTCTGAAGAACCGAACAGCTAGTGTCACAAAACCGATGGCCAGATGCCTGTGCTGTTTCTCAGGGTAAACTCCTACGTACTTGGACATACTATATTTCTTATGTATCTCCCCACTCCTCCTCAAGAAGGCGCCCTGTGAATTAGTCCTTGGATTAGCTGCTCCTGTTGGCAAATTGCCCCCAGGAAGAAGAGCCCCGATGATGGCGCGGGAACGGGCTGCGACGACGGCGCGGGAACAGGCTCCGATGATGGTGCGGGAACGGGTTCCGACGACGGTGTGGGAACGGGTTCCGACGACGGCGCGGGAACGGGCTGCGACGA